CTGACACAGCACCAGGACCAAAGCTTTGGGTCCTTGGGAAAATACACACACATGGAGTCAACATAGGGTCAGTAACTGAAACTTAAAGCATCATTCTCACCCTGCAATTATGCAACAACACCTGTACAAGCTCGCCACTGCTTTGCATTACCTCAGCAAATAATGACACCAAAACATGCTGAAAGATAGCTATTTGTTGTGGTGATAGCTGGCTAATCCCTGGATTTGCAAATCTGTAAAACAGTAGGGCTGGTTCACATGCAAACTATACAGGAATTGATCAGGAGAGAAGAGTTTAAGCGGCCAGGCCTTGCTTTCAGTGCCTGTGTGGTTAGCTCTGACCTCCCACAGAGAACAAATAGCTATTGTTGGCAATGAGGACAGGACATAGAGGTTAAGATGAGCAGCTTTTTCATAGGCCTTGTTAGCACAGCAGTGGACATCAGCAAAGACAAATGACGAGAGCATGATTTATTGGAGAGGATGGCACTCACATGCTCCACTCCCAGTGTCATTAATGTATGTTGTAATTTTAAATACTTACAGTAATTGCTGTCTTGCAGCTGAAGTGGAGACACAGACTTTGGCAAGCCGAAAAGGGCAGGTGTTGTAAGAGGAAGGTGAAGGTTTAGTCACAGTTAAGGTGAGTGTCAGGGCCAAATCCAAACGCCACTTGGAATAGCATAAGAAAAAATAAAGTAATACTTGTGTTAAAACACTCCAAAAAATGATCTATATATCAGTCTGTAGCCTGTTGAGGAAATGGTCTACCCCAGCAACTATGGGTCTTTGTAAGGTACCAAAAGAACAGTCTTTCACATTAGCAGTTGTCATTAGCAACAGAAGCTATGTTTCATTACCAAAATATCACTACCAAACCCTAGTGTTATTACTTCAGTCATCTCATGAAGAGTGCATATAATGAGCATAGTGTAATTACCAACAAACACACCACCAGTTGAGTCCTCAGAGAGTGACGTAAATCGCTGGCATTTACAAAAATGTCAGTGGGCCTTCAATGAAAGCAATAACCCAAGAAAAAGACCCCATTATAACAGAGGCCTTTTATTGCATCCATGTATCTCCAGTTTGTACGGCAGGGCTAGCAGAAGATTTCAGAGTCTCATTTAGTCTTTTTAATGTGTTTTCAGTACACAGAGGCTGAATGGCGGGTGTTGACTCAGGGATGTTGCAAAATGTCTCTACAATTCTTCCCAGGCCAGATGTAATTTTCAAAATGTAATACTCTACAAAATGTTAAGGTGCATTTGGGGGTACTTGTTATGTTTTCCAATACAGGCAACAAGGGAAATATGTGTAATAAGCAAAACTTTTAGCAGATATTGCTGAAATCACATCTGTTTATGTTATATCTCAAGTCTACTGTGGAGTTCTTATTACAGACAGAATGCACACATTAACTGGATTATTTACTGTCACATCATACAGTGGTGACAGAAGCACTGTTGCTACTGTATGGTGTGACAGTAAATAATCCTGTTAATGGATGAGTCTGAGTCAGATGCAAGTCCTCATTGCCCAAGTCCAAATCCAAGTCCTCATTGGTTAGGTGGAGTCGCAAGTCCATCCCAAGAGTTTTCTTATTATTATAATGTCTATGCTCAGTGTGGCCTACTGTGCATTCTCTCACAAAGTCCAAGTTGAGTCACAAGTCACAAAAATTACTTGGAAAACAAGTCCATGTAGCACTCCAGTGCTACATTTCTGATGCTGTGGATGCTGCTTTTCTCATTTCACATTAGTGATGTATATATGACTTTTCTCAAAGCATGTATAAGGCTGAAAAAAGTATCTAGAAGGCTAATTTTTTTCCCCTGCATATTACTGTAAAGGATCCCCTGTCTATTTCTGTTATTTATATGTATTTTCCTCTTTTCGATAACTAAATAATGTATCACAAATTAGCTGACACCTCCAATCCAGAGGTCTACTCTGGGTCTCTTTTTCTAAGAATAGTCTTGTTGTTTGGGGTGTTGGCTTTAAATTAAAAGACCAAAGAGTCTCCTTAGACACAATGATAGTGTAAAGCAGCTCTAGGCCAGCCTGTTTGTGTTAAAGGGGAGGTAACTCACAAAGAGCCTGCAGGACATTTATCCCTCTCTGAAGACCATACCTTCATAGAGTTGCCCACTGGGACCCAGGCTCATCCCTGTTTGATGCATTCCTCTGCCCTTTCTCCACAGCATGTGATTTGAATGGTCAAAATTGTGATACATTAGCCACTTCATTGTCTCCTCCTGCACAAATGACCAAAGATTACGCAAACTCTCAAGCTAGAGATGAGTTTTTTTACACATCCATTGAATATTGTTAGAAAAACCATCATCGTCTATGAAAATCCTAACATAAGCACCATCCAATGTGTTTCCTTCCTTCCAGAGTGCATGGAGAGGTGGGGCAGAGGCGGGAGGACCTCCAGCAGTCCCCCTGTGTAGGACTTTAAAGTTTGTGTCCCTGTGAACTTTACATCAAACAGGTCTGGACTGCTGCTGGCTCTTTGAAGTGGCAAAGGGGAGAATCACAGCAGCCAGTGCAGGTCTCTGCTTTGACATGTTCCGGTTCAAAATGGACTTTTGTGATGTTCAAAAACAGCTCAGATAAAGGTCTACAGTGAATGAGCGAAGATAAAACTACTTCAGCCTACCGCAGTGAACAGGGATAGTCTCCAAGTTTCTGTTTTTATTGAAGCAAAAGATGTTTCACTATATTTACTCACGAAAACAAATAATATGCAATAGCAGATTGTTTTTTGCTTTGTAATATTGCGTTATCAGAGCCAAAAATGATATATCAAGTAAGTAGTAGCCTACATATGTCATAATTTCTTTATAAAGCCTAATCAGGTCGGCGTTGGGACCATGTAGATGCTCAAGCGGAGAGGGGCCGGGCCATTTCCCATGCGCCACCAGCTACTGACATTGGCCAGCGCTCCACATTAGACTCCGCATTCATAAAATAGAAACGGGAACTCCTCTGTGACAAGACAAGAGCGGCGCACACTGGCATTAGCTGCACCGTTGTTTACTGATTTCAGCGCTACGCCACGACACAAACTGAAAGCAAAAATGGCCAAAAGCGAAAGGCAAAGAAGAAGTTTGAAGAGTGAGGAGTTCTTTTTTGATTCCGACGCGTCTCTCCCGGACCAGCAGGATTTTGAGATGTCTAATTATGCCTTCGAGGACGTATTCAACTCCAAAGACTCCCACATGGAGCAAATCACTTTTCTGAAAAATGTACAAGTTTTACTGAAAGCTGCGAGATATCTGGAAAGCGCCGAGAGGAAGGACGGAAGTGAGTTTATTGTACTGCGTTGCTTTCATAGCCTATGAAATTCAAGAAAACAACCTCTCACTGTGATCAAACTCCAACAGCAAATGGTTAACTTTATTAAAATGAATTACAAGGCTACATCAATAGGCCTAGGCTACTACATGATAATGACCACAGGCTTGTTGCAGTGCAAAATGCGCTTTGAGCTGCCAGCATGGGCGAATTCGATTAGTCAGCCAGGGCACTTTAAACAATATACTTTTTTATTTGGGTTTTTACTTTTGCAACATGTACTGTGCAGTCTAACTGAATTGTGATGCTTTGATTAAATGTGTGGGTGTGCATGGCATATTTCCAGTCATAAATTTGACCACATTGCAGCGCCCTCCAACTCCGCGTTTAGGATGATGTCATTGTGCTCGTGCAGGATCGAAGGAAAAAAAAACAAAAACGAAACTTAATATGTCTGTGAATAGGCTACTAGGCTGTCTAAGGTGCCTTGAAATATGATAGATTATGAAAACTGCATGGATTATGTGTTGGACAGCATAATTATATGTGCGTAAAGGCTGCGGTGCACTGCTTGTTCAAAAGCCCTTACATCATTACCAGCCCTTCTTTTTCCTCATTGGGTGTCCTGAAAACAATTTCTCCTTATTGAGTTAATCGTGACATTTTAAATTAGTGACAGGTTACAGCTTTACTTCTGAGTCTAAAGCATGGCCTATCTTAGCCTAAGATGCCTTAGCGTATTATTCCCATATCAAAGTGGCCATGTAAAGGGGTGTAAAGTGCACGTTTCCACCAGCTATTGAAATGATCACCTTTTATAGTTCACCGAGATTATGCACAGCTGCACGTCGCGTCGTCAGGGCTCTCCTCTCTCCTCGATTGTTTGCTTCCTGCTCTTTGTGGGCGTGTGGCCCTGGTTTCCACATGGCGCAATTCACCCCGCTGATTGGCTAGTCAATATCCCAGCCCCTAATGTCTGTCAAATTCATTAGCCACTCAAATGCTAGTATATGTGCTACGTCACGTGTTGCTGGGCCTGGCTTGGACCGACTAGTACGCCCCACATTCGCAATGAATCATGGAAATTGTAGTGTATGCAGACAGCAGAGTCCTATATAAATCCGGCATTCACTTGAATGTTATAATATAAATGTCTAATATCTCACTATAGATTTTGATAAACATTCATTATTTTGATAAATAAAATATAGACCTATGAGATTGCCACCACTTTTGTATTTGGGGTAATGTAAAGCAGATGTAATCTTCTTAAAACATCCATGAAATGTCAAATGTGAGCGTTGTCATGCCAGTGTTAGAGAAACAAAAGTGAACTTACGTTAGAGTGTTCATATTGTACTGCATTTCATCTTGTTAAAGTTATTTCTAATGATTCTGTACTATGTACAGAATCTACTAGTACTATGTACTTTGCTTTTATTGCACTAATTACAAGAATGCTTATTTCAACATATACATAATGTTACATCATTATATTATTATTTGTTAGATTTTATGTTGCTTTGGTGAATTTAAATATACAGGCACTAATGTCAATTCAACGAAATTAGAAAGAAAATAGTTTAGTTTAGAGCCATTGAACATGTGGACTACATTTCCCATAATGCAGTTGGTTGAAAGCGGCCTCCCCTCCAGTCATACTCCGCCCCTCAGCTGTGAAGCTAGGTAAACAAACTCGTGAGGAGAGGATACGAGCAGGAGGCTCTGATGGCTGGACGATTCCTCTGACAATTTTATAATTTTATACGATCTTTTGTAAAAAGTTATTATTCTTGCTATCCTATTTGATAAAAACTCAATTTGACCGAGACATTTTTGAGGTTTTCGAAGAATCGTCGTGCGTTCTCGCTGTAGCTTGTTAGCTTGAAGCCCATCTTTCCTCCTGCTCTTCGACAAATCCTCTTGATGAGGCAGTGGAGATAAAACTACGTTTATTCAGAGTTATAGATATAAATTAAACTAATGTATCGTCTTCCTTGCGTTTAAATTGAGAAATTGCCTTGTGTGCTGGAAAACGCTAGGAAAAAAGCGTACTAAAGGAAGCCAACCGGAAAATAATGACCGCTGTCCAACTCGTAAACATCCAGAGATTATTAGAAGCTGCGGAATATTTAGAGAGGAGAGAACGAGGTACTCTTGTTATTATGTGGTATTAAGAGTTCTGTTCAAACTTGAGTTATACTCCTCAGGTTAAAGCTTTTGCCTGTTGCTAACGTCGCCTCTCTTTTCACAGAGTGTGAACATGGATATGCTTCAACATTTCCCTCAAATCAGAACACGAACTACCAGCGACAAAGGAAATTCCGAAATAAGAAGTTCAGCAGTAACCACAATAGGTAAGTCCCGTGTTCCTGTAAATCATGATTTATTCAGGTGTTACGCACGTACACACATTGTGAATTGGTAAAGGTACTCGTCAGTAATTAGAAGGCTACATGGTGATGAGTAGGCTGTCTTAATCTTAACCCAGTGTTTTAGGGGATTTCTACTGAATAGACAGGAACATTGTTATAATTGACTGGAAAGCGCGCATTGTATGGTGTGTTAACGTGATGGTTTGTCGCACAACATGAATGGCTTGTGGTGCACAGGTATATGTGCAGCACATGACCACCCCAGTGCTTAGTTGCTGGTTTGGGGGAGGGAACCTCATAAAGCCCTTTAGCTTTTCATCTGCTGAGTGTTGAATAACCTGCAATATCTGAAAATAAGACCACACATTGGTTTCTGATCAGACTGGGCAAGTTTTAGGAAATGTTCAGTGTTTTTGTCTAAAAAAACATATACAGATATGTTATATTTATATTATAGCATTTTATGCATTATAAAATTGTAACCCTGTTGACAAAACCTTTGTGAACCACTTGTAAAGGATACTAGACCAGTAGCTATATCTTACTTCTTCATATTATTAGAAGACCCCTTTTCTTGCAAGTCTTTTAATTAATGCAGGCTACAAACAGGAGCTGAGCATTAGTCATCGTGAGCAGCAAACACAGCTGAATTTTGCATAGCAACAGCCATTAACAAATATAGGTTATGTGTTTTCTTCATTTGGAAGAAAAGAGTCAAAAAAACACTTTGAAGTATGCAGGGCAGAGACAGCAGGAGAAGCCAGTCAGGTGCACTGCGACTGATAACAGTGCACGATGATGGTGGTGCTGGGTGTCACGTCTTCCTCTGAAATTGTGCTAAATGGTTCTCTGCCTCATATTGTGATGCAATTTATTTTATTCCGGGTAGAGTTGCACATTTGCCAGAACCATATTTAGACACCCGTGTGTCATTTGTCAGGGTCACCATTGGCTTTACATCAATTAAACACTTCTATTTTAGGGGTTTTATTGCAGGTAATTTTCAACTTTTCATGACACATTTCCTGAGATTTTAGATTGCATGTTGTGTTGTCAGGGGTCATAGATTGCCCTCCACTTCTTACTGCACTGGTTACAGCTCTCAGCCCATAGGCCTCTCTTTGGAGCATGTTGCGGCTTAAAGTGATGGGCTTATCTTACTCTGTCCTCTGCTGCCTACTGTTTATAGCAGGATTGTGTTATCTCATTGACCCACTCTTGGTGTATGTATCCACTCACAAACCAAGTACTCATACAGGCAGACCTACAGCAGCTGTGTACTTCAAATATTATATGTTCAAGTTCATAATCTTCATTCTTTTTAGTTAAGCTTCAGATGCTCAAACATCTGATTGACAAAGCTTGCAGAAGTAATGCTCTAAGCCCTAGAGAAATCAATAGGACAGTGGACTTGGGCACACCATTTGTTTAGTAATGTAAACAATTTTTACTCTTTGTTTGATATTTCTGAATAAAATTATGGCCTGATCTGTCATGCTACTGTAGTTTTCACTGGCAAGATGGTATATGAAATGCGTGTTACCACTCAATGCAGGACCGCTGCTGTTGATGAATAGTTTGTAGCTAATGCACTTCCAGTGGGAAGGCACTCGTAGAATATGTGAGTTATAACCCGTCAGGAGTCCTCGTGTGAGCTCTTCGACCGCCCCTTCTAAGCTTAACATGTGTTTGCTGTGATAGCAGGTCCTCCACTTGTCATTTTACATCAAATATCCCACCACGGCTCACTTGATTTTCAGTCTTGCATAGCAAACTATACAAGCAGTAATGCATCCAAAGGCATTTAGTTTAAATAATTCAATAAAACCCCATATTTTTTGCAGATACAATGCAATTTCCTGCTACCAAACACCGTATTTCTTCTGCTTACTGCTAATTTTACTGCAGTACTGCTACTACTATTATTATTACTATGGCAATCATGCTGCACTCTATAGTGCATTAAAGCCCAGTAAATTTGATTATCAGGTCAAGAGACTACTGTAGAATCTTTTTTATTTTTATTTATTTATTTTTTTGCAGTGTCTACTAAGCATACATTTAGCCCAGCATCATGATTTTTCCTTATACGTTGTCTCTCAATATTATTCTTACACTGGCAGTATGACTGGGTGGATAGCTGACCAACCAGGCGGAGAATGTGTTTGACAATGACTCAGGACAACTCCCATCCATCATCTTGCCCTAAAACATGTGTCCCCTCGAGGTTAAGTGAAGCCATTTTGTGTAGATGAAAACATGTGCATTTAAGCATTGGGAGGATGGCCCATCCCCTTTCACAATGTTGCCATACAAAGACACTCTTAGGACCATCTGATTCACTTTACATTATTAACACAGCACTGAACCCTGAGTATACTTTTGTGTGAACGTGCATGCCTTTACTCCACTCCTGCCATTACCGTGCATTGGGAATTTTCAAAATGACTGTATTATTCACACACACACACACACACACACATCATTTTCTTATATGTTGTGGACATGGGAATGAATAATGCCTACATCCACTCTCCTTAGACTGTTACCTTAATGACTGTTGACGTATGGGCCCGTGTGCACTAGGCTTAAACAGGGATTAATTAATAAACTAATAAATCATACTTGCTCTTCAACTTGTCCTTGTTTTTTGTTACAGGTCAACACATAATGAGCTGGAGAAGAATAGGTAAGTTTACATTTCTCATAGTCCAACATAAGCTTTTATATTTTATTGTGTTTGCTCCATCAAATTTCATTCCAAGCAAGAAAGGAAACAAATATTTGCTTAAGGACACCCTCATTTCACTATTTGGCTTTAAACAGATCTAGTGTAAAGTAAATAGTTTGCTCTGTGGTTAGCCAGAGGGTCAGAGCTTCTAGTGATAAAATGTTTTCTCAGTTTGTATAGAAGCAACATATTCAACAGTCATGACCTGTTATGGATTTATACCATGTTTTTTTTAAAGGGCCCATACTGCGCTATTTTCTGATCTATGTTATCATGTTGTTTCCTCATCAAAAACATACCTGGAGTTGTGTTTTGTTTCATTCACTCATGTGAAAAAAAAACCCCTGCATATTTCGGCTGTGTTCTTTTTCTCAAACAGAAAACATTCCACCTTGTAATGTCACGTGATAATACAAGAAGGTTTTAAACTCCATACACACCTCACTAGAATCATGTGGAGGCTTTCAGACATGAAATTTCTAATCTCTACTAAACAAAAGGTTTAGTAGAGACATTACCACTTCATTACATTACAAGGTGGAAACAGAGCATCTTGAGCTTTGGAGATGTAGACAAACTAATACTCGAACATGAAACAACTCGAGCATGAAACAAAGCACAACTCCAGGTTTGTTTTAGATGAGGTAACAACATTCTACAATGACTTAAAGCTCACAAGATGGGACCTTTAACAGTGTTTTAATTTAATCCATAGAGAGGTATCAAAGAACTTGTCATGGATTCTCCAGGATCAAAGATTTACGGCTTTATACATAACCTATACACTGGTGTTTTTGCTCTGTCACTTTAGCGTATAAGCAGTGTCTTCTTCCACACCGTAAATAAGACAGACTAGACTTACTGGATTTATGGTAAATAGAAAAAAGAGCTTGCTTGCCTCAATTTCATTATCTCTGAGGGTGTGGGTACAATGGAAGCATGTGGGAGGCTAGATCCATTCAGTGTAATTGCATATCACCCGGCCTGTTTTTCTCACCGCTCCCCGGCAGCTTGTTCTAAATGGATGGGAACATTGGGAAGCAAGGTGTCCATTGAGTTAAATATAGACAGGACTTGATGTGTCATCTCCGTGTTTTGTATGTGATGGCTCTCTCAAGGCCAGGCTGACGGGTCCATACAGACTGTGGCACCCATGCAGTGCTGTTACTGATCCACCCACACCAGTGTATTCTTGTAAAACTCCACTTGTTTGTCGCAAAGTGTGAAGTTAGTTTTTGTTCGTGCTTGTACTTTGTAGCGTTCAGCAAAGGGCATTAGCAGATTCACAGCTTTTTCAAACAGGCTGAAATGAAAACGTGGCCTCATATTTGTCGGTCATTATTAGTGTGATTTAAGCAAAAATGAGCAGAATTTATCTTTCGGTTTTACTTTTGGGGGATCTGCTCACCATTGATAAGACATGGGGTTTAAACTAAGTCCTTTCAGATACAACCTTCTTCATTTATCTTTACTTGGACTAAGCCTTAAAACCACATTGACTTCTGACCATGTGTGGCTACTAATAACTTGAGAAATGTTATTATTAGGCCTGTCATGATAACATGTGTTGATGGGTGATATCTTAATTATCAGAAAGAAATGATAATATTGAAGCTACTTTATACTACTGAGACAGCAACCTTAAAGTAGAGTAATCCCATTAAACCACAGCTATAAGAAATAACACTTAAGTTATTAGTCATAGAAGTTATTTATTTGTACCTCTATAACTCAAATCTTATAGCACTGCAAAAAGTAAAAAGTGATAGTATGTAACTTTTCTGGATGGAGATAGATACATTGCCACACTCTGAAGCAACATTTCCATGAAAAACAAGCGGGAAGAGGCTCTGCTCCAAGGCAAATAAGAGTCCGTTTTGTGGAGATAAAAGCCTGTTCAGAGGAGGGACACATGTTTTTAAGTGCAATAAAAACATCCACAATGAAAAAAACATTATTTGGTTTAAAAAAAAAAAAAAGTTACATAAAATGGCCAGCCTCTGAGGGCCAGTCCCAAAGATGAATGAAAAGAGGGTAGTGTTAGGATGACCATCTGATGTAAACCTCTGTCTCTCTCTACAAGAGAAGGATCATTTGCAAAAGAGGAAGGCTGAAAGAAAAGAAGTGCTGTGTAATAACAATAACAGGGGCCTAGCAGAGTACATTTTCATTCTTTAGTTTGACAGGTAGTGATTTGCTGCAGTTTTTATTCCTGCTATAAGTGGCTCTGTTCCTCTTCTTTCTGGCTCCACCTTGGTGTTTTTCACATGTCGTTTTGGAGCAGGCTGCTGTAGGACAGAGCCTGCCCAGAACAGGCTGTCCCGTCCACCACTACTGTACCCAAGCCAAATAACACTGACATCTTGTTTGTCCCCACTTTTGTCTTGTCTTCCTCTCAAAATCTCTGCAAGAACGCTGTTGTTGCTGAGTACTGGAAAACTCCCAAAATAATTTTAAATTTTGTAAGAAACACAAATAGTTTGTTTTAAACAGTTTGCAGAGGTCCTCATTTACCTAATGCATGACTAGCATTCTAACTATTCATGACAATACATTTATAAGCATGTTTCACAACTTTGAGTGTTCATAGTTTTGCTGTCACATTAATGAGAACAAGAAGCTGGCTAACAGTGCACTTGATTTTCTGAGGGTAAAACGCTTTATAATTACATGCAGACCACACACAGCAGTCTCATTTCTATTATTAAGAGCTTCTTTTACAATATACCTGTTCAGGGTTAAAACAAATACTGCTCAACTACACAGAAAAATCATAAAATAAAAACAATACAGCCACTACGGCCAAGTCCGTATCATTTATAATCCACCCACCCTTAATCCAATTTCTTGTATGATCCTACTGTAAGCTATATGTATGCCGCACAGTGGATCACTCGAGTGTGTCTAAGCTATGCCTTTACAGTAGCAGTGAAAGCCTTGGTTCCATTCGGGCTGCCCTGGCTGTCTGTAAATTGGGCTCCTCTCCCACACAGGCTGAATATGGCCTTGTTTAGCGCTGCATATCTGATCGCGGTGAGCCAGTTTGTCGTGCATGGCCAGGGCAGGTCCTGATAACCCCCATGACAACAAGTAGGCTCATTGTGACGGAGCACTGATAAAAAGGACTCCAAAAAACCTCATTCCAGATTTCCACATGGCACAGGAGCAGACACAGATAGTGCAGGGACTGTTTTGCTTTGATCATCTACCTCAAATTTGACTACTTCCACATGTCGTGACTAAATTATGCTGATTTCAGACTTAGCAGTTCAGCATTTCCTCTTTCATGTGGCATAATATGATTTGTCGTTTAATACATTCTTTGATCGCTCATTATTACCCATGGTAGCTTAGTTGTTATGTCATTGTAGGATCCATATTTCCATATCCAATGCAAACACATGAAATGTCAGGCTAAAATGAAATCCTCTTGTGTACACAAGTGCTCAGTGTATCTGTGTTACTGTGTTGGCCTTTGTGAGAGCACATACACATGTTACGGCAGGTCAGTGTGCCCAGTACCTGTGGCTGTCCTTCAGTTTGTTCTTCATCCACTTTAACAATAACACTTTATATTTCTAAGTGTGTATGCCTACAGTAACTTTTTGTATTTATCAGCAGTGTTTTACAGTAGTACTCCCTTCATAGACAGCTCCAGAGTGATGCTGGACCCATAGGTTGGAATAATTAGTGAAACATGAACATGTTTTGTACTCTTGTTGGACTGTACTGAAGCCCTGCTCTGATCGCTCTGTTGTTTGGCCCAATCTCCCAGTTTGCTGTAGGGCTGCAGCAGCAAACTGGGACCGTTTGTTCTTCCCAACGTGACGACCTGTAAGCTTTTCTTGGCTTGGAAAAGCAGCTTAAGGAACTTGATCTTTGGTCTGGTGAGCCCAGAGTGTGCACGTGCAGAGCCCCGTCCCACTGGCCACCCAGCACTGCTGCTTAACAGCCTAGCACAGCTTTAGCCTTTCTAACAGACGCACCCGAGCACAAGGAACTATCTCACACACTGATGGGATGAGCTGAAGGATTCAGGTAGTTAGCCCAGGTCTCCCATGGGTGATGCTACTATGTCTGTGTGCACACCAGGCTTTTTACTGTGTACTCACCAGTGCCCCCTTCAGAGCAGTAACAGCAGATGTTACTCTCCACCAACCTGTCACCTTCACTGACAGAGGACTGCACTGTGAAATGTAATTAAATAGTTTCCTTGACACGATTCCAGGTAGCCACAAGAGTCTATATAGTCCTTATTCAGAAGAGCTAGAATAGTGGATTTTTCTGTCATGTCCTGCCTGTAGTTCTTAGCCAATGGAGAGAGAGTTTCATTGATTTCACTTCAATCACCTTCTGCTGGGTTTGTCAGCTGTAACTTTTGGAGCTCATTGTCCTCATTTAACATTTCTACGCCTTTTCCTTCAGGCACTTAACTTCAAGACAAAACTAAAATGAGCCTTCATTTGGTAACTACCCTTGGATGGAATACTTGCCATAATGTAGGTCCTTATCAAGGGACACTGTTACCAAATAGAGGAGGGCCAGACAGGTGAATGAGCTTAGTCAGCATGTTCTTGTCAGTCAAAGCGGAAGGTTCTAACCCTGAGCTATCTGTTTAAGAGCGTATCCTTCCCACTGTCACCCAGTGTGTAATAGGATTTGGTGCATTTTCCCCATAATGCTCCTGTAAGGCTAAAGTGACCTTTACGATTACTAAAATTATACAAACCGTAGGGTAACCTGAGATACTGAATCTCCTTTAAATGTTTGTGGTGGCTTCCCTTGCCTGTTCCTGGTGCAGCGTGCTTTGTTAAGAGCACGGCTTTGTTAATCTGTGCCATAAGGAGAAAGTCGGTGACAAAGATAGAAAGTGTGGAAATAGGATATTTGTGGAAGACATAATACTCAATTAGACTCAATCAGACTATAATGTCTATTTTTAGTCTGTACATCTGGGG